GTTATGTTGAGCTGTAGGGGACTCAGGTCAACAACTTCTGACATTGCCAGTCAAGTGGAAGACCCAATACTATTATGGACTACTGGACTATTTTGGAATATTTTGCTGCGTTCACACACCTATAATATTTAAATGATGGAACTAAACAAAAAAAGGAGTATAGATGAATGTCCATTTTGTATCTGTGTATTCAAAATGGTTAGGATATATTGCTACAGTCTCTTAATTCAAGGAATAGAGGAATTTGTTCTAACAGTGTTTGTAAATAGGATATCATTTCTGCATCTTGTACAACCAACCACTAGGAAGGCAGTATGCAATGTGTTAATTATTGGAACTGTCTTACCAATTTGACTAGAAACTGTCTCATTGCTATTTATTTCTCAATAAAATTATGGAAGAAAAAAAAAAAAAAAGAAGAGTTAACCAGGGAGATATCTCAGTGTCTTAAGCACCTGCCTAGCAAGAGTAAAGTCCTGAGTTCAATCCCTGGTACTGCAAGAACAAAAGGTCAGACTCTTGCAAGAGTTACTACATTTTAATGAAACCTGCCTCCCTGTCTCACCATAAGCAAGTCCAAAACGGTGCTCAAACATGAGGAAGGGAGGCCATGGATAGAAAGACAATGTGGGGAAGAATAGAAAAGGTATGTATGCAAATACTCTTTAAAAAAGGTAAAACATAGGACATTAAAACGATATAACTCAAAGGGTAACTTTAATGATTAACTACATTAAGTCATATTTTACAACTCAGAAGAGTATGACATTTCTTATTATCAAGAGTAAATGCTGAAACACTGAATTAATGTCTTTACAATTATGTAGAGGAAGAGACTAACGACAACAGAAAATAGGACAGACAGAATTATTACTAAAATGGCCATATTATCAAAAGCAACGTACTAATTTAATAAAATCTGTATCAAAATACCAACATTCTACACAGAATTGGAAAAAAATAAATCTAAACTTTTTATGCAATCACACAAGACCCAGGATAGCCAAAGCAATCCTCAGCAAAAGGAGTAAAAAGGAAAGAGGGGATTGTAAGTTATACTATGAAGCTACAGGAACAAAACCAGCGTGTATGGGCACAAAAATAGACACACAGACCAATGGAACAGGAGACACAGAAACAAGCCCATTTACTTTTATCCATCTCATCTTTGATAAAGATGCTAAAACCATCCTGGAGAAAGGACACCTCTTTAAGAAATGGCACTAGATCGATACCTCTCACTCTATATTAACATGTTCCCATCAGCATGAAACACTAGTGTTATATGTCCCATCAGTCTTACCAATGATAGCATCAATGGATCTAATAACTTTTAGTGATCTTCTTGGTAATAAATTAATAAAAAATTGGTGGCTCAAGCTGGCAGGAATATAACACACTCAAAAGAGAGCTGCCAGGCAATAAGACATACTATATTTCACTGAAAATGAGACTGAGTCTTGTATTAATTTTTGCTGAAAAGAGTAGGGCTTCTTTTCAAAAGATGTCTTATTTTTTCCTGCACAACAATTTATATTCATGTGCAAAAACCTCTATTTATTCAAATATAGTCATATCATGTTCTTTTGGAACATGTCATAATCCTCTGAACCTGAACTCTGGCTGAACTTTTGAGACTATATTTCCTGCAGAGCCATTGGCCCCAATCTCTCATGTCCAGCAATGGAGCTCTCCTTAAATGAGTACTTCTTACCCATGTAGCCTGCTTGGAATACACTGGAAATAAAGCTGTCAGAGATTACATTCCATGTGTTCTTCACCCATGTCACAACCTCTTGTAGGCTGGGCTTCACAATGTTTCCATTAAGTCAAGCGTTAATTGAAGATTTAGGAGATAGGAGTGGCAACAAAAATGGTAACAGTTAAGAATGATGGTCAACAAAAAAGTAACCAAAGAGTTACGGGCACCAAATTTAGAAAACATTTTTTTTTTTTATTTCACATGGGCAGATTAACTATCTCCCTTACAACTCAGAACATACTGAATTATAAAGATTCATGTTAGACACACCCATGTCCATTCATTATGAAGTGTGTAAATTATCTGTGTGCTGCGCCTGTACTCTTATTGGCCATCCAGCAATGTCTCAAATTCATCTGTTTATACAGACATTTACTGCTTGTCCAAAGATACCTGCTTATTTATAAATTGTAATTTATGTTATTTTTAAAGCATTAATGTTAATTCTATTTATATTTTTTATTTCTGTGATTTTAAAGTTCAATACATCTTCTATGTGTTGTAATGGACATATTAAATGCATCTGTCTGGGTGATGTCAACTAGGGTTTACATTACAAGCACCTTAAACAAGCAAACAAACAAAAAAAAAACCACAGTAGGGTTTATCTTCTAGATAGGTCTTATTTTAGGAGAAATACAGTACAAATTATGGACCTACTATGAATGGATTAGATCAAAATAAATACATACTTAAGATATAAAACAGAAACACTTGAAACCGCAGGCAGGTAAAACACTTTTAAGACATAGGTATAGGTGAAGATTTCTTGAACAGAAATCCAATAGCACAAGTAATTACACTAAGAATTAGCAGATGAGACTACTGTGTATATGAGGTTTTGTTGTTGTTGGTTTTTTTTTTTTTTTTTTTTTTTTTTTTTTTTGTATTTTAGGGAAGGGTCTACAGGGTGTTCAGGGTCTCAGTACTAGCTCAGACTTGTAATGATTCTCCTGTTTACAGCCTCCCAAGTGCTGGGATTACAGGCATGTGCCACATGCCCAGTCTCTTTCACCTTCTCAGTGAGCCCGGGGGCGGGGCTGGCATGGCAGGCCTGGGGATCGGCAGGCCTGGAGATTGAACCGCCAGCCCATGCGCCTGCTTGTAGGCACTTTAATCTGCTCAGTTATTTGTCCGGCCCTTAGTGTATTAAGTTTTAAAAAACTAAACAACAAAAGAAACAGAGTGAAGAGAACCTTCAAAAGGGCAAAACAATTTTGATAGTTATTCTTCTGATAGAAGACTAAAGCCAATATATAAAGAACACAAAAATACTAGAGCCTCACACCTGGACAAATAACCCAATTAGAAAACAGGCAAATGAAATGAATAGACACTTATCAAAAGCAGCAGCAAAATGGTCGATAAGTATATGAAAATATGTTGAACATCCTTAGTCATTAGAGAAACATAAATCAACACTGACGTTCTATCTTCTATCCAGTAAGAGTAACTTATTATCAAAAAATAAATGATGGTAAGGACACGAGGTGTATATGTGTCAAAAGGAATTTTTCTACATTGTTGATGTTAATGTATACTAGTCAAACATGGAAAACAATACGGAGATTCCTCAAAATAACTAAAAATAGAAATTCCATTTAATCTAGCTATAACTCTCTAGGGCAGTTCCCTGAAGGAGTTAAAGATACTGTAGAGACAGACACATGTATGCTTATAGCAATGCCATTCACAGATGCTGAGCTATCAAAGCAGCTTAGATGCCCAACCACAAATGGCTACAGAAAACGTACTACACTCACAAAATGAAATACTGTTCAGCCATAAAGGACAAATACCAGTTTTATGTAGGAAAATGGATGGAACTTAAGACCATAATGTTTCATTAAATAAATTAGGTGCAGAAGATTTACTATTGCAAGATTTCTTTTATTAAAAAACAAAAAATATAAAGAGTAAAAACAAGATATGGTAGAAAAGAGGGAGACAGAGACTTCTTGGAGACAGAGAAGGGAGAAAGAGGAAAGAGCTGCCCCAAGCATAAATAAGGAAGTGAAGGAATGGGTATAGAAAATGAACTAAATAACACACAGACACAGACAGTTACACACACACACACACACACACTTCTAAAAATTAATGTATTATGTGTTGCAAACATACACTTTTTTTTTTTTTTTTTTTAAATGTATTTGGTATAGTCTCACTACGCAGCTCAAACTCCTAGTGATCCTCCTGTTTTCAGCCTCCCTGGTGCTGGGGTTACAGGCACGCACCATCACATCCGGACTGGGTTGCCAGTTCAGCGCACCCGGGGGCGCGGCCGGCGTACCATGCAGGACTCCTGCTCGTTGTCCTTGCCTAAGGAGGCGCTTAGTCCACTGAGCTACCTCACTGGTCCTATTAAACTTTTTAAAATTCTGTGACGGAAATTATTTTCAACTTAGACTTGATGTCTAATCAAACCATCAGTGGAGTGTGAAAGTAGAATAATGACATTATGCAACACAAGGCCTCCAGGAGTGTACTGAGCTTCTGCAGCTTCTAAAAAGCATGCATCACAAAGGGAAAGAGGAAAGCAAGAAAGGTGGCAGTGGCTCAGGATCCAAAAGGAAAGGAAGACAAAAACAACAACAATAAAAATAAACACCAAAGCAAGTCTCAGGAGACAGCTAGGGAACCTCATGATGCTGCCTTGGTTCACGAACTTAATTCTTCCCACATTTTTGGCTACAAACAAAATTAGATGAAAACCGAATTTCCCCTTAAAATTAACACTGAGCCCCTTAAAATTAACATTGAGCCTAACTATTGAATTTGATTATTCATTCAATTCAGTCTGCAACCAGAATTGTAGGAAGAATTAAGTTTGTAAACCAAGGTATCACTTGTGCCATGGCAGGAAAACAGAAGATTTCAGGAGGAAGCACCAAGAAAAGTTGCTAGACTGCAGAGTATGTTATATGCTGACAGGCAGCAGCTCGGTGGAGTGGGCTCAGGAAAGTTTAATGACAATAAAATTTTAAGCAATAAAACAAAAGATCAAGCAGGTGAAAAAATTAGAAAAAACTAGTTCTAGAAAATAAATATTAAAGAACACCAGTTTTAGCACGTATCTTGGCTTAGCATTCCAGTATACAGTCATAATGATAACAACAATGAATATTGACATAAACGAAAAGTATGTATAGCCATATCAAGTCAGTACGAGACAGGTGAGAATAACGATGTAGGGAACAAAGCTCTCCCTTCAGTAGGAAGTCAGATATCAAGAAAGCAATTTAAGTACTAATGCTGTTTGTTTAGAAATACAAAGTACCCCCAGAAATGAACGATGATACATTCCTGTGATCTCAGCTACCTAAGAAGCTAAGGCAGGAGGACTGAAAGTTTAAAGGCCAGCCTGGACAACTTGGCAAGACTTTTTCATAAGATTTTAAAAGGTGGGCTGGGGATTTGGCTCAACAGTAGAACGCTTGCGCTGGGTTTAGTCTTCTACAATTAAAAAAAAGAGAGAGATTTAAACAGGTCTGGGGATTTAGTTTAGACAGCACTACCTGGGTTCAGTGCCCAGTACCACAAATAAATAAATAATAAACAAACAAACAAACAAATGCATGCATGCATGCATGCATACCAAACATGAAAAGTTAAAGAAAAATTTCCAACGTGAGTTCCTCTGACAAAAGTGAAGTTTCACTGTCTGGAGCAGTGATGAATCTTTTAGAGACTGAGGGTCCACACTGCAACCCAAAGCCCACTTATTTATCACACAATGCCAATACTGCATTAAAGCACAACACTGAGGTTTTAGTTTAGAAAAAACAACAACTAGCATCTTTTGTCTTAAAAGTATGTAACAGGTGTGCTTTAGGTTCACCACAACCAGTCTAGAGTTATACAATTTATGTACAGTATATATCAGTAAGGGTAAAATTTTACTGTCTATAGTTACATACTTTTTCCACAGTATATATTTGTAGGAATAAAGTTTTATATCTATATTATATAATTTATGTTATAATCCCTTTAGCAACGTTTCTGTGCTCCACAGATGAAATACAAAATATTAATTTAAAAATAAACTATCGTAACATGAATACAAACTTTATATACAAGAGAAACAGATCTTAAGTTATCTTATGTACATTTATATACTGAAGAAGAGGGAGGGCCCAGGGGAGGGAGAATCAGAAGAAACAGAAGGCCTCAGAAGCCAAACTTCTTCCATTCTACTGTGGGAACTATACTCTTTCTAACTGAGTCCCTCCTCTGCAGGAGAAAAGGAGTAGTGAAGACACAGACAAGACTCATATTAAAAGTGCCAGCACCACTCATGTGGGTCTATCAAACTATGAATAGTAAAAGTTAGCATTTATTAAGTACACAGTTTCATGGAAACTACTTGGAACAGTAATATTCTCATTATTTTTCTCTTTAAACCTAGGAAGTCTTTTCTTAAGAAGAAGAAAATACAATTATAAGCTAATCAAGAAAACAAAAGGGAAAAACTAGAGAGTAGGAGGAGAAAAAACTCAAGGCTACATTCCCATTACTTCATGATGTACTATAACTTTGCCTACAATTTATTGCTTCAGAAAAAACTAGGAGAAACTCAAAATATGAAGAACAAAATAAAAGATACAAAATAGGAAGGTATGGGGCTGGTGAGATGGCTCAGTGGTCTAAAGTACCTACTTAGAACAAGCTAAGCCAAGCAAAGCACAGGGACCTCGGTTCAATCCCCCAGCGCCACATGCCAGCCCGCCCGCCCCCTGGTGGGCTGAGCTGGCCACACACAAAATAAACAAATAAATAAATAAATACATAAATATTTTTTTAAAAAAACAGGAAGGTAGATCAAATGAGAACAGGATTGAGATGAGAGGACAGAATGGCTGATGAGGAGGAGATGAAAAGAGAACTAAGATGTGCGTATGTATATGTACCAACTCCCCACAGGAATATACTCAAGTACTTTAAATATGTATTAATAAAAAGTAATTGAAGAAAAGCTTGTAAGCTTCTTGTTTTAAAATCCTAAAAAGGTCAAAGAAATACAGATAATCTGAAAGGGTGAAAGTTATTTTTATTGAGCTGTAACTAAAATTGCCACATTATACTTCCTTCACAAATGGAGAAAGGAAAACATTTTACCCCAAATTACAGACAGCTCACATGAGTGCCTCTTCCCCTTACCTTGCTGCGCTGCATCATGTTCTGCTGTTCTTTTCCGGATGTAGGTTTGAACTTCTTCCCATCTTCTCTCAGCTTCTTGGAGTTGAACCTTGATATTTTAAAAAGGAGCAAGCAAAAATTAGCCAAACAAAAAGATTTCCACTTTTAAAAAAAGAAAATAGCATCCTTCACCTTATTAAGAATCATGGCTCTGGGGCTGGTGAGATAGCTTGGTAGTCTAAGCTTTCAAGGACTTGAGTTCAATCCCCAGTACTTACTGCATGCTGTGCTGGCTCTGGGCTGAGCCAGCCACCAAAACCAGGCATGGTGGCACATCCCAGTAATCCCAGTGCTGGGGAGGCTGAGATAGGAGGATCACTATGAGGCTGAGCTGCGTAGCAAGACCCTATACCAAGTAAATAAGTAAATAAAAGATTAAAAATAAAATTTTTTTAAAAAAATTTTAAATGCTGTATCTTAAAATTACAACTAGTCTCAGACATTTTTAAGAAAACAGACAGACAAACACGGTCTGGCTGCCATTTCTTTATCAGTTACATCTATCCTGGTCCTCCGATACAAGAGGTATTCACAAATACAATATTAGTACTGTTAGATCAATACTGCCATTACTATATATGTATCTGATCCACTTAGCTATGACCTGTTTTCCATCGGTCTTTTCTTCTTTTTTTTATGTACTTGGTTGTCACAGGGTTTCACTATGCAGTTCGGACTAATAGTGACCCTCCTATCTTCAGCCTCCCCAGCACTGGGATTACAGGTGTGTACCACCACACCTGGACTCTGGCCAGCTCAGCCCGCCCTGGCGGCAGGGGTTGGTGCTGGCATGGCATGTGGTGCCAGGGATCAAACCATGGTCCCCAGGCTTGCCTAAGCAGGTACTTTAGTCCACTGAGCTATCTCTCCAGCCTTCCGTTAGTGTTTCTTCAGCTGGTAACTATCTGAAATACATGATGGTCTCTTCATTGCTAAATCTTAGTAACTACTAAAATTTATATTTTGAGATATATATATATTACAAATCTCCAATTATGACTGTAGTATTTAAAGTTATCTATCTGTATCTGTGGAGGACAGATTTCTATATCTACAAAATCAGCAGTAAATCAACGTGCAAAATCAAATTTAAGTAATAAAGTATATAACATCATGCAGGATCTAAGAAAACTTCAGGAAGTCTCAAAGTCTCTTAAATCCCCTTATTTCCTAGTCCCAAGCCTTTGAGCACTTCACATTCATGGTCTCAAGGTCTCATCATGTCTGTGATCTAGATGGGAATCTACCTGGTACAGTGAGGCTTCATTTCAGTTTCATTAAACTGTACCTTCAACAAATCCCCTCCTCAATAAAGGGAGTGTCTCGGTTACTTTTTCCGTACTGACACAATATCCAACATGTACAATTTGGAGAAGCTGATTTTAGCTAACATTACAGACTCTGGTTGGCTAGCTCCAATGAGGAAACAGCATGGGAGAAAGGCATGGTGGAAGGAAAGCTGCTCACCTCGTGGTGAACAGGAAGCAGACAGAGCAAGAAGGAGCTGTATCCTTCCAGGTGATGCCCCCAGAGACCTGCCTCTTCCAGCCAGAGTTCACTTCCTAACAGAAAGTCAGCTAAACAGCCTTCCAAAAGTCTTGCCTATGAGGACATGAGGCTCTTGAGGGACCTCAAGATACAAATCATAACAGGGAGGAAAAGCTGATTCTCCTCATTAGCATATAAGCTGTATGAGTGTACCCAGAGCACAAACAAGGTGAGAGAAAATAATGTGCTCCCCCTTGGTCATCCTGAGTCATCCTGCGCATCTCTTTTGAGCAAGAGCATCTCACTGTATTGAGTGACACTATGATGTCTGAAGACAAAGTATTTGATTTTTGCATACCAAGAATTCAATGCAAGCTACTGGGCCAGGACTTAAATCTTATGCTCAAGCAAGGGAAACCCCCTTTCCAGTGCTAAAAGAAAACAGGCTTCATTGGACTGAGAAATTCATTCAAGTTAAGGATGATAAAATGATACACAAAGTAATTTTAACTATGTGACTTTTGCCTGGCACATGTAGGCCCTAATCCACATACGTAACACTTTCAAAATTATACCACTTATTTACACATGTCAGGTAATTTCATTTTTCATACTTTCAGTCTTCAGCTTCATTTAAAGCCTATATTCAATTATTTCATTAGGTCACACATTGCTGCAGAGAGTTATGGTTCTTTAATTTTATTTTTAATCCTTTATTTACTTGGTAAAGGGTCTTGCTACGCAGCTCAGCCTCATAGTGATCCTCCTATCTCAGCCTCCCCAGCACTGGGATTACTGGGATGTGCCACCATGCCTGGTTTTGGTGGCTGGCTCAGCCCAGAGCCAGCACAGCATGCAGTAAGTACTGGGGATTGAACTCAAGTCCTTGAAAGCTTAGACTACCAAGCTATCTCACCAGCCCCAGAGCCATGATTCTTAATAAACCTCAAACTATACTTCTTAAACCTACATATCATACTTAGGCTACAAATTTAATATCTATATTATTTATGAAAAGATAAAATAGAAGTGCGGATGTATTACCTTCAACTGAGTAACTGCTTGCTCAGCATTCTTCTTTTGGACTTCCTCTTGTTGTAGCTTCCCTGTTTTTTCAGTCAGCTCATTCACTAACCTAGCATAATCCTGGCGAAGTTTGTTTAGTTCTGCAGACTGCCTGGAAACAGTAACTGGATTAGGAATCTTCCATTACTACAAGCATATACAAAACAACATATTTTATTAATTTTGCTGAGCTAATAATTTCATTTACAAAGAAGTGAAAAAGAACACAAATAAGTATTTGGTTGTGTGCAATTCCCAAATAATTCCAATGACAATTCACAAATTCTAGACTGCCAAGAAATATCAAGAAAAATGGATAAACACAAACTTATGAGGCACCAGTGTCACCCTCCAACTGATCTTCTGAAAAGCTATTAAAATCAACCAATTAGAATTCTTATTTTGTGCAAGGACCGTACTACTCTCTCTAGGGTAATGGGTCTCAAAGAATGGCCCCAAAACCAACTGTACCCTGTTAAGAGGAACATGTTTTCATATGCAGATTCCTGAGCTCCACCTTAGGTCAGTAGATCAGAAAAACTTTTAGGAATAGGACTTAATACATTTTAAGTTAGCAAGCCAGGTGTCATACTGAATAATAATTTGCAAACTACTCTAGTAGGAATGGTTTAAAACTTGCAAATTAAGCCTCATAAAGGGCCAGGGAGATGGCTCATAGAATAAGTGCTTGCCTGGCAAGTGGAAGGGCCTGAGTTCAATCCTCCATTCCGGAAGGAAAAAAAAAGGCCTCACAAATCTGTAGTTTTCTACTAATTGTAGTATTAAGTGATATATATGTAATACATAAATTATATATAAAATTGCATATAACTAATACTCTTCACATAGCAAGAGAATTTTTGAAGAGTTACTCAATTTGAGAAGCACATATAAGAAAAGTCTATGTGTTCACCAGTCTCCCTATTAGGAATTCACCAACCATCTTGTGAAAACCCACACTAGAGTCTGTCCAGAGGACTCAAGCTCCAGCAGTAGCTACAACATAAAAGGTTTTTACACAAGAAAAATAAAATAAATTAAGTCTTAAAAAAAAAAAAGAAAAGTCTAACCAATTATTATAAGTACCATTTTAATGATTTAACAAAATATTCTGCCGCTGAATTAAGATGGAAGTACTTGGAAACATACTTGCTTTCCAGCTGATTTGTGGTGTTGCTGACAGCATCTCTCAGTATACCATTTTCCTGCTTCAAGTGTGCTATCTCTGCTTCCATCTGCTCACGAACTTGCTGAAACTGGTTCACATGTATAAAACTTAGAAAAAGGTTGCCAAAGCTACTTTTACAAATTTTATTACAATGAGAATATAAAAAAGCATCAGCAGAATAAAATGTGAATTGCTCTTCTCAAATATATATAAATATCTAAAGGAAGTTGTTTGTGGATTTTAAGAATTGAACCCAGGACCTTGTACTTGCTACGGAGCTATATCACCAGGCCTTTTTTTATCCTGAAATATGTCTTGACAAGTGCCCAGGTAGACTCTGAATCTGTCGGCAGAATCCTTCTGCTTCACATTCCTGAGTACCTATGATTACAGTAGGCATGTGGCATCACACCTGGCCAAGAACTGTATTTTTGGTGTGGAATCAAAGGTAAACAGAGAGACTGGGTATGGTGTCACACGCCTGTAATCCCAGCACTTGGGAGGCTATAAACAGGAGGGTCACTATGAGTCCAATCTATGCAGTGAGACCCTCTGGACCCTGTCCTAACTACAAAAGAAAAAAAGTAAACAGAAGCTGCAATAGCAGTTAAGAATACAAGAAACTATTAGCTATTATCACACTGAAAAGAGAAAATAAACACAGAGTTCCAAAATTAAAAGTTGATTTTAGGAATCTCTACTCAAGACTCTCACAGAAAAGCCTGTTACGATCTTAGAATATATCAGTTATGTGTCAATTATATTCTTAAATAAAAGTCTTTAGTAGCCTAAAGTTTAAAACCTAGAAATATGCTCAATTTATGTTACACATTGAGCCATAATAAAATCAATGACACAAAAATCTACTTTGCTAGAAGAGGGAAGAAAAGAAGAGTAAAATAAAAGAAAAAATGACAAAAGAAGGAAAACATGGAAACAAAACTTTGTAAATGGACAGGGGAAGAGGGATTGAAGAGAGGATAGGAGAATAGCAGGAAAAGTTATCATGTGTCATACAAACTCTCTCTGATCAATGTGAGCATTATGTATAATTAAAATGTACCAATAAATCTTACTTTAAAAAATTTACTTGCTAAATTAGTATGACCTTGTCTACATTCGTAAGTACCTTAATGTGCCTGATCTCATCTAAAAGAATATGACATCTAGTTATTCTTGCGGTAAATATATATACATCGTAAAATGTAGAATGTTAAAACTTACAAATGTAAAGCTCAATCATATCAATATATCCATTATTACTGTACAACCATCAGTACAGTTCATCTCTGTAACTCTTATGAAGAACTCTAGCCAGGCATGGTGGCACACGCCTGAGAGGGTAAGGCAGTAGGACTGCCATGCATTCAAGTCCAGTCTGGTTTGCACATGGTAGTGAGTTCACAGCAGGCATGAACTAATAGGGAGACTTTTATGTAGGGTCGTAGAGTCGCAAATAACACAGGAAAGAAGGAGGAAAAAGAGGAGGAG